CAGCCGCAGGGAAGACAGCTGAACTGAATATCATAGAGGTGCGCCGCCAGCGGGACCAGGGATGGGACACTTCCGCCACGGCGATCGTTAGCTTCTATTCTCTCTTCTCCTCCTCGGCCACTCTGTAGCTGCAGCTATAGAGGAGGAGAAGAGAGAATAGAAGCTAACGATTGCCGCGGCGGTAGTGTCCCAATCCCTGAACCCACTGGCGTCGCACCCCCTCGATGCCATTCCTCTCGCCCCCATGCAATTTTCACTCGCCAATTGCGAGGGGGTGGAAATCTTAATGCCTGTTGTAGTGCACACCAGTCATAATCATAAAGAAATTCAATAGTAAGAAGTTATTGATGATGGAGCATTTTGAGCAACAGGCATATTTGTCCATCCTGTTGTAATAGTAAAAAAAGAGTGGATCAAAACCATTGGGGATTACTCTAACAGAAAATAATTAACCTGGCATTAAGTTGGTAAAGGAAGTAGAGGTTTTAAAACCAAGCCAACAGCCCAAAGTTCGTCTATTAACATTACATTGTCCACACTCAACAGCAACTTCCTCAAAGGGGATGCTAAGGTCAGCCTCCAGTATTTGGGAATTAGGGTTTTAGGCATTTTTAACATGTATAGGATCAAAGATCTCTTTTAGTAGAGTTAAAACATTGTGTATGAGTCAAAGAGAGGATATGCTGTAGTAATTCTGTGGATACGTCTAAGGATTTCCCTCCAATAGTCCTTAATAAAAAACCTCCAGAGATTATTGAACATGCCAGGACAACCTCTCGAGCAGGTACCCAGGATCTTTGAGCCAATTTGTATGGCAACCAGCCATGGTTGTCATACAGACTGCACTTCAAACATGTCTGCCTTTTGTTCATTTCCATTACATTGTGGATTGATGGGACTAATAGGTTAGACATTAGAGATAAGGTTCTTAACCTGAAAAGTGAAAACTAATGCAGTCACAACATCTAGAACTGATAAACTGCAACATATTAAAAAAATGTTAGATATAATTTTAACCAAAAAGAAGAAAGAAAAGGTTACTGTGTAACCAAATTGCAGCTTTTGGTAACGCATATTGTATATACTGTATGTAAGGGTTCATGAACGCGAGTGTTTTAGCTTCCTCTCCACAGACACAATTTGAAGATAGTAAAGCCTACCACCCACATACTCTTTTGCTGAACACAGGCTCTAATGTAGAGAGGGTAAGCACTGCAGCTAATCTCTGAGGGCTTAATCGGCACAGAAGTGTGTCTGTATCTACAGCTCATCTCTGGGGGCTTAATCGGCACAGAAGTGTGTTGTAATCTGCTGAATTCCCCTTTCTCACGTGTGTTAGTGCAATGAGCTTTAGTAGGCAGCAAGCTGGGTCAGTGAAGAAGCAGCTAAAACACCCTGATGGACGATTGCAAACAGTGAAAACGAATCTGAAGAGCCAAAAGTTGACCAACAAATGATAGGTATATGCAAGCGAGGATTACTAGGGGTGCTGCCCCACTTCAGCCTGGGAAGCTGCAACACTATGGGAGAAAACAAAAGAGAAGGGCGCCCACCCTAGTGTAGATAGTTTTTAATGATAAAAATTGAAGTACAGAGTAAAATCATACTCGCAAAGGTGAATCAAAATAAAAGCATAATAGGCAAGCCTGGACGACATCTAAAAACGGCTGCACAGACGCCTGTATAACAGCACAGGACTCCTTCGATGACGCGTTTCCGGGGTCACGCCCCCTTCGTCAGAACATGACCTCCTGCCTGGCAGATTCATTTCTCAAGAGCTTTTTCCTGTGGCCCAATTTTAGGTCAAGTCCACAAGCTTTGCCTGGAGGTTGAACAACAAAAGCTTAGCCATTTGTCTGGTCCAGCATTCAGCAGTAATGTAAAAAAAACTAAATTCCCCTCACTTGGGGCCTGACAGTCAGTTTTTGTGAATGTTTTCTGTTTCTGAACGAGATATTTAAAAAATGTGTACATTTAATAGCATTCTCTCTGTTGATATATGCCTTAAAGAAAATGGAATGGGATTTTGGGCTTAAAATAATGGGATTTTATGTTACACTATACAAAGATGAAAAGTATTTTTTTTATATCGGTGGGCACTATAACTTGGTCACAATGACTTGGAGAAGTTGTCGCCCACAAAAAGGACTTCTATTTTTATTAAACAAAAAAAAAAACAGGTTCTTTGCAGTTTTCCAAAATTCAGAAAAATCTCTCACATACAGTTTTATTTTTGTTTTGTTTTATCAGAGCTTATGTGGAAAATCATTTTAGACTGTCTTAGGTAATTCATGATTATTTCCTAGTACTTGAGACAAGTAGATTCTTGCCAAAACTTTTGTGTTTGTTTTGGACAGTGTATGGAGGGGTTAGAACCTCTAAGTTTTGTTTCTGTCTCCAGCTGGTCACAAGACTGTTGAGTATCAGTCGTTTACCTCTATGGTATATACAGATTATAATGTTCCTTTTCCATAGATGTAGGATTGTACTACTAGGAAATAATTTAAAAGTAAAGCTTTTGTCAGATCTGAATCTTTCCAAAAAATTACACTGCATTGCTAAAAGGTCTCCAGCACTGACTGTTTATTGTTCACTCAGTAGTGCCCACACCCTAGTAGAGACATTTGGGGGAATTAACAAAGAGTGGCACAGGCATAAAGCCTGATTCGCTTTTCTAAACAAAGAAAATGGTATAGATCCTGCTCAAAATAACAAAGATGGAGCAGGTCCCCTTGTTAATTAGGAGCAATCTGCCCCATTTTCTTAGCCGTATCTGCACCGCTGACCGCCTTCCCCCTTCCTCAGCTGAGAGCAGGTGTGCAGAGGAAGGCTGTAACCCTGCATATACTGAGCTGCCCCAGCCTATCTGCAGGCTTTGCCCCTGTACTCTGTTCACTGTCCAGGCAGAGAGAGGTATTTGAGCTGTCTGCCAGTCTAAAAACTGCTGTGATATCTTTGCTAATTAGCAACAAATCCATGCCAGTTTCTGTTTCACTCTAAAATGGACACTGGCATGAGTGGCTCAGATAGACCTAATAGAGGTCTATCTGCTTTGTTACTATGGCACACACTACTCATTACAGTTTCCTGTGCCACTATAATGACACAGGAAGCTATGTTAATTTCCCCCATTATGTTATTAGTATGTACTGTATGTATGTTCCCCCCACGTTTTTCCCACAGCAGTGTCCACAGCTTTTTTCTCGGACAGCTGTCCCCTTATCCACACTATGTTCTCTGACAGCTCTCCCACCATCCACACTATTTGTATTGACAGCTCTCCCACCATCCACACTATTATTTCCTTACAGTTGTCCCCTTATCCAGACTATGTTCTCTGACAGCTCCTCCACCATCAACGCTATGCTCTTTAACAGCTGACCAACCATCCACACTTGGTTCTTTGGCAGCTCCCCCACCATCCATGCTATGTTCTCTACAGTTCTCCCACCATCCACACTATGTCCTTTGACAGATCCCTCACCATCCATGCTATGTTCTCTATAGTTCTCCCACGATCTACACTATATTCTTTAAAAGCTCCCCCGCCATCCACGTTATGTTGTTTGACTGTTCCCCCACCATTCACACTATGTTCTCTTACAGCTGACCCACCATCCACACTATGTCCTTTCACAGATCCCCCACCATCCACGGTATGTTCTCTGGCAGCTGGCCCACCATCCACACTATGTTCTCAGGCAGCTGACCCACCATCCACACTATGTGTTTTGACAGTTGCCAACCATCCACGCTATGTTGCCTGACAGCTTTTCCACCATCCACACTATGTTCTCTGACAACTCCCCCCACCATCCATGCAATGTTCTCCTGACAGTTCCCATATCATCCACATTTTTTGTCTGGCCGCTTCCCCCGTGCACACTATGATATTTGACAGCTTACACACCACCCAAACCTCCATCTGGCATATAGCTGAAGAACTGGCAAAAGTGGTAATGCACCCCAGGGGGTGTGTCTATTACAGCCTGTAATTACAGGAAGTGCTTTGAATGAAGAGCTGCTTTTTTACATTACCAACATGCCTGGATTTTTTTGTATTATTTATTTTAAACAGGAGTTTCACCTTCACTTACTGTCACAGCAAGTCAGAAGGAGTAGCCACAACTTGTATACAGACAGCAATAAAAAAATCTGACAGATGATAGAACCCTTCCCCAACCTTTTAAAAACTAAAACATGTTTTGGTGATGCAAAACACAGCTATCAAAGTCAGTGCTGAGTTCTTATTTCATCCTGATACAATCACAGAGACTCTTATCTTTTTCCACTCCACTTACTGAATTAAACACTTCATGATCCCATTCATTTCACACGTTTATGCACAAAATGGCAAGTATTTACATCCAGCAAGGAGAGTGTTAATTTGTTCTGTCACGATCAGCTGAGTACAGTACTGTGAGAATTGCTTGTCTCACCTTCTTATAATGCTAGATTTTCATACATCTTCATTTAGGCTGCGCTTAATAATTTCATTGACACCTTTCAAACGCAAATTATGTATTTTTCACAGTTTTTTTAAATGTGTGCTGACAAAATTTAGAACATTAAACCATACCAGAGAAACTATTACTGTTACCTTGGGAAATGTAAATAGGGGTTGCACACTTAACTACAGACCGTGATGTTTTGATATTCGGTTGTCTGCAGTTTGTCAAGAAACAGCACATATTGAGCATAGTTCGCTAAAATAACAAGCAAAATGTGATTCGTTCATTCATTTGTAACTCTAGTAAAGATAGATTATGGATTATCTTCCTGTTGGGGGTTATACAAGATCAGATGGTAAACTGGCTAATCCTGGCCATACACCTATCAATTTTTTTTTGTTTAACTACCTCCCGGCCAGCCGCTGTGTATACACGGCCTGCCGGGAGCTTCTTGGATGTAACTGGGCGTGTATACACGACCTGTGCCGTGGGCTGAACGAAAAAAATTGACGCGATTCCTCCGTCAACACAAACAGTGTGTTGATCGAGGAATCCCGTTGTGTACATTGTATTCTGATAGGTGCCGCCAGCATTAAAAACGGTCCGAAATTCGACCAGTACATGGGCACCTTAAGTATGGGGTACACCGAAATTTCACCTGCCGAAACGTATCAGCCGAAAATTGCACTTTTGGCAAAATGCCATCTTGCGGCCCAAATAACGGTGCATCCATAGTTTCTCTCCTTCCCTCAGGCGCAGCGTCCAGCGGGTAGGAGAGAAACTGTCACAGGAGGCCGAGCCGGAGGAGAATGCTGTGAGTGGCCGGCGTCTCTCCTCCCGCACCGCTCAGCCTCCTGTCACAGATCTGGAGATCCGTGTGGGGGCGGAGACAGATGCAGTGCTGTCACAGGAGGCTGAGCTCTCCTCCCGCACTGCTCCGCCCAGCCTCCTGTGACAGATGAGAGCAGCGGTGTGGGGGCGGAAACAGCTGTAAGGTGTTACAGGAAGCCAGGTCAGAGGTGCAGGGGAGGAGTCAGCTGTCAGAGGAGATCGACATCTCCTCCCTACACCCCATGTTCAGCCTCCTGTGACAGCTAATCAAGGTAGGAGAGCGGGTACAGGCACTCAGTGATCACTGACTGTTTGTAAATAATTGGGGACAGAATATGTTTACTGTTTACTTCCTGTTCATTCATTAATGAAAATAAATAAATAAAAATAAAATGTAAAAAAAATGTAAAAAATTAAATATTTGAAAAGGTTAGGAAAAAAACATTTTCAGTTTCGGCTTGACGTTTTTTTTATTTCGTTTTTTTTCGGTTTTGAAATTCTCATTTCGGTGCACTTCTAGTACTAATGATTGCTAAATATTACCTACCTCTGAAATTCAGCTGTCAGATTTTAGTTTTTCATCCAGTCCTATTTTGTTATAATTATTTTTGCAGAGATCAAGTTGTGTGTGCACAATGGACAGTATATAATGCAAAAAGTCAATAAAGCAGAGCTGGATTGTTTTGTCACAAAAAAAATTTTTTTATTAAGAATTGGATAGTTATACAAACATTAGTACAGTATTAAATGTTTCCCTGCAAAGGAGATGCAGTATTCATAACCATGACTTACATTAAAAGTCAACAAGTAAGTATTTGCAGGCAAATGTTGAGCGATACATAAATATCAATTGACGTCAGAGTTGTTTAACTACAGCTTACTCTGAACTCACATTTAGACCTTTGTCACAAGATCGGGGGGGCATGACAAAGGTTCAGTTTTCCCTGCAATACCATGTGGCTTGGCAGTCCTTATGAATGGTGGTACAGATGGAAAGGGTTGGGGATTTTCTCATGGTGGCAGTATGAATTCTTGCCAGTCATGGCATATTATGTTAGCTTATTGCTGGGGTTATTGACATTTGTTGCCTAGAAGGACGGTTGGTAATTTACAGAAGGCCCTGTTAAATTTGATGGATAGCAATTTCATGATTTTATACCAGAATGAGACTGTGCCACCATTTGAACCTGTTGCTGAGGAGACTGTAAAGCATGTTAAATAAATCATCTTATCATCATCTAAATCATCTTATGTATTTTTGTGGACCGAAATATGTCCTGTGCAGCAAGAGGTGGGTCCATCAGCAGATTTGAAGGCCTCATCTGCTAAGTGTGGTGTGTTCATAGTTAAATCCTTTAGGCCTCTCTTCCAGGCTAGCATATATCACATTTTAGGGTCTACACAAGTCTAGTTGAATGTTGAGTAAAGTAGCTCTGGTTAAGGGGCTTTGGTAAGAAATATTCTCAAATTGTAACATGGTGCTTAATGGTTTTTTGTTAATAACTCTAGAAAATGGATTATTTGTATAAAGCAGTAAATCTCAAAGCGACACTAAACTCAGGGTTAATTCTTAAAAATGCATTCAAGTACCCTGTATTAACAAAAATGTAGATTATTTGTGTATCACTCAGCTGTAAATCCTCAAATCATCTCTGAATTGGTGCCGACACTGTCCTTCCTTCTGTAGGGTGGCTACTTTTGTTCCCCATGGCCCATGTGTGTGTTGTAAAGTAGCCACCACTCCAAGCTCACTCTAGTGATGGACTACAAGCTCATGTTTAGAGCTGCAGCTAACGATTATTTTCAAAATCGATTAGTTAGCCGATTATTAAGTTTGATTAAGCGGCTAATCGGATAAACAATAAAATAAATTTTAAAAAATGGCTCCAGTGATGGGACTACTAGTTTGTATTGAGATTGCAGTCCATCACAGGAGCAAGCTTGGAGCGGTGGAAGTAAAAAAGTAAAAAAAAAAAGTGCTGTGTGCAATATAGTGAAATATTACATAATATTACATATATTATAAAAACAACAAATCCCAGCAATAGTACATTATAGCTGGCGGTCTTCTGCATTGCGCTGTCTAATGTACTGTTGCTGGGTTTTGTAGTCCTCTATAGCTAGTGGTATTCGGCATTGCACCACTGTATAATGTACTATTGCTGGGATTTGTAGTCCTCTATAGCTAGTGGTATTCGGCATTGCACCACTGTATAATGTACTATTGCTGGGATTTGTAGTCCTCTATAGCTAGTGGTATTCGGCATTGCACCACTGTATAATGTACTATTGCTGGGATTTGTAGTCCTCTATAGCTAGTGGTATTCGGCATTGCACCACTGTATAATGTACTATTGCTGGGATTTGTATTCCTCTATAGCTGATGGTACATTGTGCTGTATATTATACATGGGAATACAAATCCCAGCAATACATTATAGAGCACCATGTGGGGGGGAGGGAAGTGCAGGCTTACCTGAGCAGTCTTCCAGCAACTTGCTTCTGAGATCGGGTCTGTCTGTCGGCGGCTGTCATCCCCCCACCTGCTTCTCCTTACTACATCTCCCCGCGCCATCACAGGAGTGAGCTTGGAGCTTCTTTTCTTTTTTTTCTGTCTTTCTTTTGCTCATAAGAAGGTATATTACATAACAGGGCTTTACTGTAACCCATATATTCTGCATCCTTGTAAATAGATTTGTAATTACACCCATGGGGTTGTAATGAATGAGAATGTCACCCAAGCTCATCTAGTTCTAGATTTCTTCCTGTAATATTAGGAGTGTTTAATGGTTAATGCTAAGAACTTGACTGCCAGTGCAAACAATATAGCAGGCCATGGACAAAAATACCCCAGTCTACATGTAAATGTTTATTGGGTCAGGGTAAAACAGGCCAGTTTTAGACATACATATGGCAAGGAATAAATAGTTTGTAGGGTTCCTACAAAGGCACCTAAAGCTAGCCATAGACAAATAGATTTATCTTGTTTGTTTGTGGGCTGAACAAGAAAGAGCTAATATATTCCCCCATCTTTGCTAAACAGTTTGTATGGAGGAATCTTCCCTGCCAGCTATGGTATTTAGACAGCCAGAACCCGCAGCTGTCTGAATACATGAACAGCGATTGTATAGGATTGGATGCAGTGGCTGTTCATCTGACAGGTCTCCACTCAGTCTCTTGTTTTTTTAAAATCAGTTTGGTGAGTTGGTTGGTGCTGACAGGGTCACCCACATCTTGAATTTTGGCCACTTAAGGCCCCATTCACATTGAGCGATTTATCGCGCGGTAATTCCCGCGATATCGCGGCTATTTACCGTGCGATATCGCTCTTCAATGCTTTGCAATGGGGCAAGGGGCCTGCTGTCGCGGGTCGTGTGTCGCTACAGCAGGACCCTTTTTGGAGCGGATTTTGCCGCGATTCAATGCTTTTTGATGCAATATCGCGCAAAATGCAAATCGCGCGACAAACGTGCGATTTGCGAATCGCCAAGTGTGAATGGGGCCTTAGCAGGAGTCAAACTTCAAGCCGTGTATGGCAAGCTTAAGGTCCTGAGTCTGGTCAGCAAACCAAATACCATACATCCTTAGGTAAAATCAGGGTTCTTCTGTGTTTTTATTCATGTTGGTGTTAAATAAATGCTTATAGTGTCTATGAAAGAATTTGGGATAGAACGTTTGAAGTCTTGGACCTGCATCTGTGTGTAATAACCAAATAGTTCATCAATACATCAGTATACATCAATACAAGTTAATGCTAAGAAAATGAACTGATAATGTGAGGATGAGGACCTAGCGTCTTTATATGGGTGAAGTTGTGGGGTGGCTTGAATGAGCAATCAATACTAAAAAAAAGAATTCTCTTGATGATCGTTATTGGTCACCCAGATAAGGGTAGATACATATAAACATGATATTATAAGAAAACTTTGTCACCTTTCAGTCAAGTAGCCTAAAATATGCTTCATGCCCATGAATAGTAATTGAATCCATTTAGAACTCGGGACGACACTGACGTGAGGTACTAGTAAAAACAGATAAGCTGATTTTTGGATCTGTCCACACAATGATTTCACTATATGTATACAAAAGCTGCATTGTAAAGTTTTTGCCTCTTTCTGTGTCCTTTCTCTTCATTTGTTAATCAATAAATATTTATGTTAATGCAGGTGAGGTCTGCTTTAGCACATCCATCCAAAGAGGAGTCTGCAAGAAAGGTGAGCTTAAATATATATTTTGCACTATAGGTCACATGAATGTGTAAATTAGGTTTCAAGATACATGAGCCAAGCTGTCAAGCACTGCACACTATGCTGTTGTGTTATGTTCCTATATTTGTTAAAACTTTGGAAAGACCCATGGATGCATGCCTGGGGTAGTGCTGAGATTAACGTGCACAGCTGTATTATTTGGTTAGCTACATAAGTCCACCCCTATATCTGCATGAGAAGTAACCTTTCAGCATAGATAACCGTAGAAGTACCTCAGATATGTGTCTCACACCAGATGCGGCTGGAATAGTTTATTAAAGCTGGTGTCCCACCTCAGGGTCCATCCCTCCGACACGTTTCAGCAAATCACGGGCTTGGATAAAACGCGTCAGCAGGTAAGACCTTGGGTGGGACACCAGTGATGTGGCACAAGCTTCAATAAACTATTCCAGTGGAATCCGGTGTGCGGCCAGCTTTTCTTCTGTTTGTATGGGCTTATATTGGAGCAAGGAGGTGCAACCAGCAGCAAGCACCCGGCTCATTCCTTTCCTGAGCTGTGGAGGAGCTGTTGTTCTTTTGTGAGTTCTCTTTAAATATGAAAAGTGTGCTCATTCCAGAACGCTTAATAACAATTGTATGTACAGAAGTGTCAATAAGAAGTTAAAACAGTGTGCACCATTATGTAGTGAAGGAGGAAATTTGAGTTTCCTGTGTGTAAAAAGGAGAATGGCAAAGATTAGTGCAGAGTGTATGACGAAGGGCAGTATTGGCAGGACAGTGATACTTTTTCTGGTAAAGCACAGACACCTATGTGGTCCGGGGATATTTTAAATGGT